ATTCTTCACCGGCCGTACCGGATGTTAAGGGGATGCTGGAGTGACTCTGCACTTTTGCACCTTTCTAACCTAAAAACTGTCAGTTCGCGGAAACATTTGTATAATATACAAATTAAATGACTTACGTGTACAGATCGAAAGCAGCTCGCTATTCCGGCCAAATGAAAGAATAATACGGCATCATTGAAACTAAGTTTATAAGTCCAATAAGAAATAATAGTGAGCAACACATACATACAGTACATGTAGTATATGTGTTACTCACTATTATTTTTTATTAGACTTACAAACATAGTTTCAGTGATATCATATTGTTCTTTAATTTAGCCGGAATAGCAAGCTGCTTTCGATCATCTGTACACGTGCCATTTAATTTGTGTATTACACAAATCTTTCCACGAAACAGACAGTTTTAAGTGCAAAAGGTACGAAAGTGCAGAATCACTCCAGCATCCCCTTAAACAGGGATAAACTGATGCATACGTGCACTCAGGTATTTTCGTCAAACGCAGTCCTGCGTTCAGCATTGCAAATTTGAGGCGTCAGAACGCTCTTTCTCTCTTTCTATTAGGTGTTCCGGTTAGTTTTAAAGGGTTTAGCAAGAAAAACACGTTTAATTGAGAGAGACGTTAAATTAAATTTTATTCAAAGTATTTTCCATTGCTAGCTTTAACTTTTTCCCATTTTTCGGGCAACAAGTGAATTCCGCGATAAAATAAATGTTCGTCGTTTCAAGCAATCCATTTATCAAGCTATTTTTGTACCTCTTTATATAATTTGAAACGCTTGACCAATCTTGATACGTATTTAAATTCAACTTTTCGTTAATAAACCTACAAGTCTTTCATTAAAACCGCGACGCGAGTTATAAAAAGTCCGATTTGGGGTTATACGCGCGCTATTGGGATTTAATAGGGGTCTTTTTAATCTCGCTCACATGCGAGAATATGTAAAGATAAGAATACAACCCACCCGAATTTTGACAAATAAAAAGAAATCAACTTATTTCGTACATCATCTTACGTATATGTATACTCTATCAAAGTGGACAATGTTGACCACTTACAGCGTCGTCGGGCCAGATTGGACCTACCTTTCGTTGCTCCTGGCCATACAGTCTGGTCATTTTGACCAGAAATCAGGAAGGAAGAAAACTCCTTCCATAGTCGGTTTATTATCGTCACCGACAGATATTTCGTACGGTTCGTACTATATGCGAGCGTCGATCGTACCGAAATGCAAGACCACGAGAAGTTAATTAAAAAAGAAAATTAATTTAAAAACTTTGCTGTATAGAACTAATAAAATATATTTTTACTTCCGTTATTTATTCGAGAATAGATAATGACTGTCTCTTCGTGACTCAATCTTTAAATTCGAAATTCAAGTATAATATATATGTATATAGAAAAAACAATTTATTTCGCGTTATATTTTAATTACATTCCGCGATGAATTTAAATTTATAATATGAACTTAAACAATTAATAATCTCTTGAAAATTGTTTGAAAAATCGCGAAGGCCGACCGCGAGAGTACGAAGATGCGTGTAACTACACAGTGTATTCAAAAAGTTCCAGGACTGGTCGCACACAGATCAAACAACGCCATGTATTGATACGCCTCTTTAATATCAAGCTTCTACATAGTCTTCCGCCAATTCGATACAACGCTTAGAACGAGTCTTCAGGTCCATCATCGCCTTCTGGAAAGCCTCCACTGGAATACTGTTCAGTTCCTTTGTCACCGCCTTTTCAATCGCCTCTACTGACTCATATCGATGTCCCTTCATCTTCAATTTTAGCTTAGGAAACAAAAAATAGTCTGGGGGGGATAGATATTTTTTGTTTCCCAAGCTGAAATTGAAAATGAAGGGACATCGATATGAGTCAGTAGAGGCGATTGAAAAGGCGGTGACAAAGAAATTAAACAGTATTCCAGTGGAGGCGTTCTAGAAGGCGATGATGGACCTGAAGACTCGTTCTAAGCGTTGTATTGAATTGGCGGGAGACTATGTAGAAGCTTGATATTAAAGACGCGTCAATACATGGCGTTGTTTGATCTGTGTGCGACCAGTCCTGGAACTTTTTGAATACACTGTGTATGCATGTATTCATGCAAGACGCATCTTGAAAATGTACCGCGAGAAACATATACAGAATAAATGACGTGAGATCCAGAGAAAAGAAACTTTCCGTTCGATAGATAGACCGACAATTGAATTCTAGTTAATCAATAATCTCAAATAAAGTATGAAAGTAAGATAAAGTTTTAGCGTTCCCGACAAAACATTAGAATCTCACGTCATATTATTTTACTTCATATAAACATTTGTTAATAAAAAATGGATAGGCTACAAGAGTTTAGCTCGACGAATACATCAATAATATTCGTCATATTTTGCGTGAAAATATGTGGTGTGCTGTAACGGGGCACCCGACCCTCCACAGTAAAAACTGCGATCACTTCCCTTTCGATAGGTAAAATATATTAAAATAGATACGAAATTATGTTGTAGTCCATCCATTTTAAGGCAACGAATCTACGAGATATACTAATCTACAATCTACGATCTACGAAATGTAGATTCGTTGCCTGAATAAAAAAGTTTCCTACTCACCTTTCGATGCGCAGCAGCGGAGGTAGCTATGTGGATTCTGTAACACAGAAATATAATTCATTAGAGCAGTGTTCGAAAGCTAATATTGCAAGAAATAAATATTTAAATAATTAATGCGTGAAAGATTTTTCGCCAAAGATCTTCACGAGAATAAACTTCTATAAAATTTTCAATTATTCCTTGTTCTCTACTTATTACTTAAAAATTACAGAATTATGAAATAGACGACTCAAAAATAAGCTGGGAAAAAGATTGATATCACACTAAATAAAAAATAACACTTACCATAAAGTTGCTCCGCCGGCGCCCGATGCCTTTGCCAGGCCTGCTCCTCCACTCAGGCTGATGTCCATCGACACACTCACGAAATCACAAAGATCGTTCGCGCGATTTTGCACTCCCGTTATGCAAAGCCCATGTGAGCGAGACAAACGTGCAACGGCCGGCGTGAGACGCTGCATGCGTACACATTTTACTGCGCGCCCCAAAAACTGTCAAATCCCTGAAGCGTAGCGGTGGCTACGATGTCATCGACAGGAATGGACATCTAACGAAGATTTGTTCCTCAAATGGGCTTTGGAGAATCTTTAGTTCGCTTATTGTTAGACGGCACTCCCGAACGCGACAAAAGTGGAGCCCAGTGAGAAATGATTCGTCAATCGACGTCGAAATGATGTCGAATCGACGTCAATTCGACGGTGTCGATGTCGACTCGACGTCGTTCGACGAATCATTTCTCACTAGGTGACTTTATGTTGTACGCGCACTTGGCACTTTTGCGCGCAAATTGTTAGCGAGATAATTTCTTGACAAGCGATCGATATATTATAATTTTCCCGATATAATTTCAGATCGCGACGATTACTTAAACGCGAACGATAAACGTCACTAACTCGTAGGAGACGATCGCGTTACGAGGAGCGACGCGAAAACGCGCGAAACACCCGTCTCGCTCGACTGAGCCGCGGCGACTGAATAATAAATTGCAAATGTTTTCGAACGAGGTGTTCACGGCGCTACGTCATTTCTTCGAACCAGCCCTCGGTTTTCGCCCGAGTTGTTTACAGTCTATGGCGCTACGTCATTTCTTGGAATCCGCGCTCGGTTTTCGGCGCTCGGCAAAACAAGGTCGCACCGTACGCGAGATCATTCACGCGGCGACAGTAACGAGTCGGTTATGCCCGCATATCGGGTTACTTTTTATTGATACGCGCTTGCGACAAACCCGGTGAGAAAGGAATAATTAGCGATCGATATCGTCGCGTGATTGCCGATTCCTCGCGATTTGCCGTCGATACTCGGTTACCATGAGTGATAATTACGGATTAATTACGGACGATAAAGCCTCGTCTACGTAGAAGTCGTAAAGTCGTAGTCGTAAGACTAATCGACTGTGATTGGTCAATTCTTATGTATCTGACGGAATTGACCAATCGCAGTCGATTATTCTTACGACTACGACTTTACGACTTCTATGTAGACGAGGCTTAATTGTTTCTCTAATTGAACAATGCTCGTATCGTCGCATTGAGTCTCTCGTAGCTTAAAGTATAATTTGTTAGCTGTTTCTACGTTGAAAACGCGAAATAATACACGAAATATTGCATCGAGTGCTTTAACTAGCATTGGTGTGATTTATTAATACTACTGGTTTATATATTTTTTACAAAATTTATAAATGAAAATACACGTGCGACATTGAAGTTTTAATTATTTTCAGACGATTGTGTCTCGATTAATCGTTAACTCAATTGTGTTTATTGTACGGTGTCGAGATTAAAATGTGTAATTTTCAAGTTTTTCGTTTATTAACGAAAATGTATAATCTTAATGAAATTTTACTTTTATTAACGGAATCATACGAATGTTGGCCAGAATGCAGAACTTTGAGTCGAATTTCATCGCGATACGTTTAATTGAAGAATTATAAAATATCAATTAATCTTATCCGTGCTTAATTATATTGTAATATTTACTCATCGATACTTTTTGAGTAACTGCAACTGTAACGCGTTACTTTTTAGAATTGGTAACTGTAACTATAATAGTTACATCTTTAGTGAAAAATACCATAACATATTTTTCTCACAAATACCAGTAAAATAAATTTTATATACAGTACAAATTTTTTACAAAATTTTCCGCCCTCGATTGTACTTGTAATCCCGCGTAAATCTCGTGTGAACATGAGCAGTAACGTTCTGCTTTAAGAACAGGAGTAGAGATGATGGCAGACAACAGATGGGAGGACAAAAATGTCGATACTTAAGTAAATAATGTTTATTGTTATCGTTATTACTAAGGCACTTGTTATCGATATAAAAATGTATTTCACAAATTATTGCTGTCACTGAGCATATTTAAATACTGATATTAAACAACTAATTGCTTTTGTGTATAATCTCAGTTATTATTGAGGCGAATGCGCAACTTAAGCGGGGTTTTCGATCTAAGATCTATCTTTACGCATCAGCGCAGATATATCGCGGAACTTGTATTTTCGTGTAGAAAATGTGAAGGCACTTATGTAAGTTTCCGTGTCTCAACGCTCCCCAAAATGTAATCTACACTGAGTTTAGACTAAAAGCAAGATACAATATGGTAAATATTAATCGTTAAATTGCAATTAAAATAATACATTAAACGCGCTTGATTTGCATCCTGGAAGACTGTCGGTCGGATCGACCCTCGTAACGCAGAGAAACGCTTACCAATTTCGACGGTAACGTCGATCGGGGAAGGGACGTCGCCGTAAATCATGAAGCACAGCGAATTCGAATAAAACAAAACTAACAAGTAGCTGAATAAATAGGATGAAGCGAATAAAAAAGAGAAACTCAAAACTGAATAAAACTCAAAACGCGTATCCTTAATCCGGCTGTTAAAAACGGCATTAAAAATGTCTCGAATACAATCAATCGTGGGATGATCGAATTTGTATACGTAAAATAAGAAAGATCACGTTCTCACATTGTGCTCAACGCGCGACGTCCCGTCTTCCAGAGTATTGGCATCAAAAATACAGCGAATGATACAAATATCGACGTTTACACGATCACTCATTCCTTTTACTAATTTAAAAGAAAAGAAAAAAATCTAGTAGTCGAAGATTCGACATTCGCACGGTCAACCAGTTGAATGAAAGAGACATCAACGTAGGAGCGTGCGAATAACGAAACGCAAATTTTCTTCGTTTCTCCGAGGCTTTTCCCGATTACGGAAAAGGCGGGAGAACCGATATTACAAAAAGTTTTACATGATAAGATTGCTGACGTCCTTACTATACAAAAGAGTGAAAAGTTTACGTGACTAGTTCGATCTCATAGCAAGTGCGCCAATATTAAAGTAATACAAATATTAATTTACTATGAATATTCATATCCAATGGACTTTCGTATATCTTTCCTATTGTTTACGTAAAATCCATTGTTTATGCATTTAAATATTTATTACTCAATTACATCACTTTTCATTACGAAATCGATCAAGATAGATATTATCACTTGTTAAATAATGGAAATAGTCACGCAAATCTCTTCCTATATAGTCTTAGCTGCCCACTAATTGTATAAACACGTTATCTTGTTTTTTTACCAGAAACGTTATTTCGATGATAAATAGGCCGTGAGTTAATCTACGATAACGAAAAATTTAATGTTAGCGGCCTTCTCTCTTTCACATCACGCCTGTACCCATCGCTAGATATGAAGGGCGAAAATTCTTATAGATAAAAGATACATATATAGATAAATCTGTAAACGCCAGGTAGTCTTCTCGTTCTGGCAAACTCCATTATATAATTGTATGATAGTATAAAACGTATGTGAAAGAAGTTTACAATCTAACAGCGTTTCTCGAAAAATATCAATATAATTGCAATTTGTAACAAGAGTATATAGACTTTACATATAAAAAAAATATATATATATTCTCGTTTTGCATTTATCCACGGCAGAAATATTCAGCCAGAGGTCTAAAATGACGCTCACTTTTAATAACTACATTCACATAATGTTTTATATGGACGGTTAATGCAGCAAAAAACGATGAGTAAAGTTGTCACATTAATTGATTATAAAGACAAGGCACTCTGTTTTCAAGCATATCGTTCGTAAAAAATTACACTACAAACGGGATCGCAGACGACACAGGTTTTCAATACATACATATGTATATATGTATATATCCCGCGATTTAAACATTGTACAATTCCGTATGTCATATTCGAAATATGGATAAATGTCTGTAAATATGCTGTATTAAAAACTCTTCGATCTTCGTCCAGTAAACATTATATTAATCCGTAACTTCGAACCTCGACGATCTTCGAGATAGCAATATGACGAACTTGGTCACTCATAAAACATTGCAGTGTCTATATTGTCGTTCCACATGATCATCATCATAGAAGCCTATAATATAATTAGTATCAAGAATTAAAGAACCAATTATAACAAATAGTAATTATAGCGAATAATAACCTGCTATAACTGACAACATTTATAATAATAACAGTTTTCAATTACATGCACCCAAGATAAAAATAGCACCAAATTATTCTCGCGTGAAAACATGCAACAAAGTGACTCGCGTTAGAAAATGCCAAAATGATAAAACATCTTCGTAACACGAGCTTTGAAATTTGTTTGAAATTTTCTATGATCCACTCTCTCGTTGTTTCTCTATATTAGTTTTTACAACAAAACTGCATTCTGCGGGCAAAAACCATAGCAGGATACAATTACGAATTGGGAGCATAAATATATGATCTCTTGATACCATCATATGCAACAAAAATCGATAATCTGACAAAACGCGATCGTCAAGTTCAACGAATATGAATACGGAATAGAAATTTTCGTTGCATATATAAAATATAATATTGTTTAACGAAGAAAGAAATAAAGGGGAAATGAAGGACTAGATGTTGGCATTTAAAGTTCGTATGTAGTCTTTCACTTCTACCTTCTTTCTTTCTTTTCTTCAGGCGGTATATAATAAAGTATAAACATCTCTCTATTTAAATTTACACAAGGGAAATGTGGTACCACGATATATTACAAAATTTCATTGATTCTGTCTTTGATTTGACTGTTTCATCAGAAAATATATTTTTCCATTCGAATATTCTTATAACACATGGAATATCAGAATAATCTTTCATTGGACATCAGACGAGTTTATTCATTAAGTTGTCCCAAAATATTTCAAGATATAAACTTACATTTACAAGTATGTTTATATTCGCATATAAACATACATTTAATTTCTTGAAGTATGGTATTTTAAAATGTCTGAGATAATTTAACAATAAAACCGTTACGCCAAGCAAAAAGTCTAGGTTTACTTCCCGATTTCATCATCTCGCTCGTTATATGAAGTTTGAAATAAAAATATATTTTAACGATATGTATATCCTTGTTATCGTGGTAACGCATCTTCCCGCAAAACTCTAAATAGAAAGAAACAATAAAAAAATAGGTGTTTAGGTTGGAAGTAGAAACTTAACTCTATCCTTCTAGTACAGTCTAACCCACAGTAAAAAATTGTGAATTGTGAAGAAATAAGAACATATTGATTAAAGATATAGAAAACGATGTTCAATGATGCGATTAATTCAGGTTAATATCTAGATTCGGATAAAGTTTCCACTTCAAAAACCTGAATACCTATCCTTTTAAATAGGTCGACATCCGCCGCAGTTTCACTTCTAACCCTATAGCCAAGTCAGCACGTTCTCCGGCTTGGTTGGGTTAGGATTTATGAGTGACTGCACGTCGTCCAAAATATCGGTGCTGAACTCCTCGTTCAGCTGAAACAACAACAGTTGTGGATATAAAAGAAATTGCATTCAACAGATTTTAACTAGACTTGCAATTATCAAAACATATCGGAAAACTTACCTGAAGTGATGGCAGGAGATCGTCTGTCGAATCGATATTGTCACTCAAGGAGAGCTCCGGCGTATCCATCGGCGCACCCCCGTCTGAAAAAGAATTCGTCGAATTCAAAGTATGACTAAACCAAATGTGATATTGTGTTAAATACGTACTTATGTATTTATGGCTTCGGTATAATCGTTTCGTAAGATCATTCAACGCACAGTGCCTTTCTGCAATCGGAACAATTGCGCAAAACAATTATTCATAAATCAAAAATTTACTTAAAAATTGACGGCACAGCAAAGCAAGCGAATAACATTCTCTTTAGCCTAGAGACTCATAAGCGTGATGGTGGCGATGGATTTTGAAAATGTTGCGCAAAAAAAAGGACTTGATGCTCCGAAAGATTCGACAATTTCGAACGGGTCGCTCTTACCGCTCGTGCCGTCCATGTTTTCGTCCATGTTGAAGTCGTCGGAGGTCTGAGGCAGGGAATATGCTGAGCCGAGTCCTAGGCCGCTGTCAGCACTCTCTTGGCGCGCATGTTGCTCGTTAATACTCGACAGGAACGGATCCATGGGGGCATCCGTGGTGCTCGGCCGCATCAACTCTTGCTGCAACGGAACGGGAAAGACGCGTGAACATAAGAACTGATTGCAAATGTCACGCGATCAAGTCTCCAGATCAAGGCGCGAACGAGTCACGATGCTAACCTGGCGTATGATTTCCTGCTGCCGCAGTTTCAGACGTTCACGTTCCATCTGTAACGAATGAAGGCGAATCTTCTGCTGGCAGGCTGCCTGCAGACTCTGGTTGCTTTGGATGCTGCCTGTGGTTTGTTGAAGCTGCCAGGCCTGCGGTAGCATCGCGTTGGACGTCGGAGATCTTTGGAGATGCACCGCTGAGGGAACGATTTCTTATATGAATGTACAATAAGATATCAACATTGATCTACGGTCGAGAAGTGTTGATAAAAATAATTGTGGCTAGTTAGAAAAGGTTTTTTAATTTTACTCCTGTAAAATTGTCGAGCTTTAATAGTATCTAGTGCTATTACTTTTTCGATTTCTATTCGGTAACTCTGAAATTTAACACGTCCAGAATTTAATTACATTTAAAGTACTCCAAATACTTATTGAAATAAATCAGAAAGTAGAGGAAAAATTAAATTTCTGGCCTCCGGAAGGGTGACGATAACGCGTAATAACGAAAGAGGCAAAGCAGCAGAAAGATTTAAATCGTACCGATCCGGTTCGATGATCAAACAGTGAACAACGAGAGATCCTTTAATTCTTGAATAAATAGTTTAAATTCGGAATGAGATCTTCATTCTAGTCTATATTTGCGACATTTAGGGGAAGCAGGGATTTCATATTCAATACTTACGGATTCGCGGATCGAACCAGGATGTGGTGCGAGACTGATGATTGATAAAATAGATTTCGCCCTCGGCTGTGCGCGCCTGTTCCCATCCATCGGGCAGCGGACCGAGTGGGGTGGATTTGCTGCTCTCTACTGCCGCGGCTACCGCGGCCACGTTCGCGGCTGCGGCCGTTTTCCGCGGGTCCTCCCATGTCGTGGTGCGTGTCACGTGGCTGGAAAAGAAGTGCCGACGTCAGCGGAATAATGCGTAAAAGGACAGGTGGACTGAGGAGATTTATGGCGAGATCAAGATTCTCAATCTCGTGTAGCAACAAGGATTTGGATTTCAAATGAAATTTAAGGCCAGTTTTACAAACCTCGGCCAAATCAACCAGACGTTTTAATAGACTCCGACTATTTTGTTTCCCTATATTATTATCTAGGAAGAGACAGAGACGAATCAATCTCCGATTGGCAGTTAACTCTTTGTATAACTGGTATTCGAAATTTATATGGACGTTTGTAGGAAATTCGATTCCATGACCTCTCAGTTTGCTCAGTTTTTCTCCGAAGCATTTCGTCAATATAAAGTCGTTATAAGCGAACAAATAAATATGATAAGTTCTAAAGTAAAGAAGACCTAGACAAATACGAAAGTATCGTTAACTTAATTAGATTTTAATTTATTATTATTTTAATTTAAAATAACTTAATTAGATAATTAGATATAGTCTCAATTTAATAAGCAAACTCTCCTTTCGTTAACTTATAGATATAATGACACAAAATCGGAAGATATAAATGTATACATTAGATAAAGCTTCGTCATCCGGTACGCATCATCAATGTATAATTTATGATACAATTTCTTCTTGAATTTTGCTACAAAAAAGTATGGTGTATCATCATATAAGATACACAATTTGTTCCAACAGTCCGTTCAAGAATTTTCCTCCTGCGTGATTTCACGTTTGCAAAACCGACGATTTATTAAAACTAACGCCGATGCGAGATGAACGAGAAGGTCCAGGTGAAAATATATTTATCGCGGCGAATTGTGTCCCCGCGCGTCAGGATGCGATCGCGCGAAATTTGGCTTCCGTTCGATGTCGCATCGAACGCTTTAATGCTCGGCTCAGGCCCGCTCGATCCGCGGAAACTGAATACGCGGCGCGGCGCGTACAGTTATCCACATATAGTAGGCGCGTGCTAAAAATACTCCCATTCAAAAGACCGAGGCGAAGCAGCAGGCGACGTGGGCTAGAGCGTAGGTTTATAACGCCCGAAATAAAGGCGATCTTTCAATCTTGCCGATCTTTTATTACACGGGGAACGGCTCGCGATAATTCCCACGAATATCGTACACGCTCTGGAGTGAATTGAAAGTGAGATCAGCCTTTTATACGCGCTTCATTGCGGAGTCGGGCAGATATTCGCGTACACCGAGCGGCAAACAGTCAATTCTCATTTGTTTAAGGTGATGCTAAACGCGTTTTGTTACCGACAGAGTCAAATATAGTTTCTACGCTCGTAAATTTTATTACTGCTGGGCCTTTATGCACAAAATACCAGGATAGGGCGCGGACTGCGCAGTAGAACATTTTTGTAGGAAAAACGCTGAGTTTAGAAGATAAAAAAACTATTTTTTTCGTCGACTTTACGTCGTTTCGCACATACGCATATTTTCAAACAGACGTTTCCTTTTACACAGGCTTCTAAGCTCATTTCTAACGGTACGGGAATATTCTCTCGTGTTTTCCCAAGGGTGGATGCTAAACGTTTTGCACAAACTACGGAACTTATTATATTAAATAAGTAAAGTTACGCCACGAGAGGTCGCCGAGTTCGATCACCTTAAAGTTTATTACAAAGGCAGAATATGTGTGTCAGAGATATATTATTATTTTCAAATAGAAGCAGTTTATTAATAATTATTCGCGCAGTATCTCGCGTATCTTTCGATCAGCGGGTATCTTACAGCAGCCCCGATTCGAGGCAAGTGGCTTTACTTCCAGACCGTTAACGTTGATAACGTATCATTCCATTCTTAAGCAAATAAGTCTTGCTCTTGTATTCCCGATTTCATACTTTTTTATCGTTTGTTTTATCCGTTTAAACGAAGCTGACTATTTTCTGCATTTCCACTGGTCTTCGGGACGAGGCGAGAGCGAATGAGCGCGTCTCCGCCCGTAGCAATGCCGAAACGGCGGATTTCGCCGTGCCACAGTTCGGACAACGGCGAAGGAAGTCTGTTTTGCACAGCACGCGCCTGTGACGTCATCGCGCGATTATATTTCTGCACCTACACGCCGGGCCACAGACGTACCTGGCGTGACGCGTACCTGCCTTGCAACGGGCACGCGTTTGTAAACAGCACGTCCGGCCCGACGCGCTCGTTCAGATCGATTCGTTAATCAGATCGCAATTATCTGGATGGTACGACTTGGCGTTACTTTTAGAATAAATAAGACCGAAGTTGGACAGAGTCAAGTTTCTTCAACAAAAATGTCGGAGCTCCCGGTTCTTCGTCCATTCTAATCATTGTCTTTCTTTTTATGAAAATTTATTTTATAAAAAAAAGTGCGTACCCTTTTATTCCCGCGTCTCTCTCATACTATTCAGTATAAAGTACCGAAATCCCGTTCATAATGCCGAATTTGGCGATCGCGAACCTTGATTGTTCTCTAGAAACTGCAAATGTTCAACAAATAGCGAAACACCCTGTCCAACGACGGCGCAATTGCGCGGCGCACCCCGGTCCGACCGTGCCGCTACGAGCGCGGTTCTCCGTCGCTTTCCGCCGCTCTCGGTTGGCCGCCGTCCAATAAGAGGAGCGGAATTGCGCCGCGCCGTCCCCCCCCCCACGGTCGTTACGGGCCGCTACGAGCGCCGTGGAGGGGATGAGAGCGGCGGCGGCGGGGGGAGGCGGGGAGGAGCGTCGAGCAACCGAGAGCCGAGAGAGCCGAGAGCGCTGGCGCGTTAGAGAATTATAAGAGGGTCTGGTGTGGTGCGCGCGCGCACGACATACGGACTCTACGCGGTGTATTTTTACTCCGGACATCACGGCGCCGGACAACTCGTAAATAGACACTCTCGTATCGGCGCTCACCGTTGCTCTCTGCTCTCCTTCGCCGGTTCCCGCCCGGCTCTCGCAGACTCCTCGCACCCTGCCGTCTGCCCACCTCTCACCCCCCTTATCATAAAAATACCCCCGGGCTCACCCCCTTTAGCCTCCCGTGAGTAAAGGTCACCGATCTCGGCTCCCTAGAGCCGAAACTCTAATGTTCTAACGATACTTCGCTGCCGTTGACCCCAGCTTTTGTACGAACAGCCGCCGACATCAGGTACCAGCTTGTTTGGGACATTCGTCGTGTTTATTGGGCGGCCCCTGATACATCTGTCTAAATCCTTCGTAAAATTAAAAATCCTTTTACACGAAGGCTCTCACGATGCACAAATCTGGGCTTGTTCCAAGGATTTAAACTCACAATAGCTAACACTCATTTCTATGGGCGATCGCTCTCAGAAACGCTTCGGTAAGCAGGCAATTATTGAAAATTATTAACGAGCGAGTCTCATAATCGCAGCGTCGGATGTTTTGCATTTACATTTTTGTTTGCGCAATGCTAGAAGGAAGTTAAATGTAAGTACGAGCAGATTACGGATAGAAAAGTACAGTCAGAGAATTGGAGATGCCTCATGAAAACAGATTACTTATATCGACTACGAATTGTATTGACACTAATTAGTTTCGGACAATTTAATCTTCAACGACAATGATAGATTAATCGAACGTTTATTTTGAAAGCGACGTAAGATAAGTCCTACAAGATATGCTTGATGAAATATCGTTTCAATTTGTACCAACGCAACGTGTCGAATTTGTGTGTGTGTAAAGCTTGCGTGTCACAGGAGTTTAATTTGTTGCTCCTCTTTTTAAATAAACGTTAAATTGTTACAAAAAGACGAAAATTAAAGGAAGTGCGGAAGATTCGAAAACAAAGCGATCTTTTAAGAAAAATGAAAAGTATTTCATACTAAAAAAAACAAGATAAAAAAAATAATCAAGATAATTTTCAGACAGAGATTTATAAGAAATCGTTTCACACACAAGGGAAATAAATTTTATGATAAAATGGCCGTATACCGTAATACATATGAATCTCCCGCTTAAAAATATTTTAATTGCGAATTGCGAGTTAGCGAGATTCATCTCGTAGGATACATCGCCAAGATTAGGATTAACGGAACAACACGCGCGATACGATTAAGATGTCGCACGCGATATTTATGGTGCTACTCGGAAGCACACGGTACGTAAAATTTAGCGATAAAAGCATCGCGACACCATTCGGATACGCCGGATAACTATTTCCCCGTTTATCTGCGCGTGAAATCGCTGATGCCGCGCGGCCTTACGTTCACGAAAATGAGTAACGCGTGTTGGGGAACTTAACGCTTTTAGTTAATGGGATCCTTATGGGAGGATGATAATAAACGAGCTGCACGTGGAGATCGTCGAGTTAAGTGCTTGCTTGATTAGTGTTGTAATAAAAGCATTTCTCACAAACGCGATATATCCGCGACATTCCTCTATTGTCCTATTAACAATCAACGCCCAATCTTTCAGGACCGCCATTACGGATTTTAACAAACGGTATATTTTTAAAACAATCCGAGTTTATACATCCCAATTTCATGGGAAATATAAAGAAATAAAAAATGCATAGGTACATTATTTTCAAAAGACCTCAAAGATAACTTGACCATGTCTGGCAATTTTTATGTTTAAAAGTCACAACGTTTCGACCATGGTTTGTGGTCCTTTTCAAGTGATATAGTATCAAATCTCTCTCTCTCTCTCTCTCTCTCTCTCTTGAATTTGTGTTGCAAATGTTGCAAACGTATTTGTAAAAATGTGGCGTTTACAGCCAGAGAGGTAGAACGTTTTTGTCCGTTCCTCCATACGTTGAGCAAATTTCACGCAACGCGCGTTGCTCAAGTCGCCTTGAACTTTCGATACGTTCGCCCTGTACTCCCGGCGATCTGTCCTCGTATCTGGCATTCGCATTTGTCGTCTAAGCTCTCTCGCGTACAGGTGTGTCGGGGTCTTTAGCCTCGGTGCAGCGCGGCGCGACGATGTCGTCTCTGCCAACGATGGCGCGTCACGGTGCCGTCAATAGTAAATTCTCGAAAACTCCATTGTCATTCGAATATCTTCTTGTCGACAAAG